AATTTTATAACTCGACAATAAATGACTATTATAAAATGCGCAATACAAATTTTTGTAGAAAATTAACTGTTCTATAAAAATGGTGTCTTATGTTTTGGCGATTAAATTAAGCGTTCTAAACAAAAACTTTTAAAATCAGTACACATGAAAGTTTGATGATGAATATCTTTTGAACGCTTCAAGATATATATATATATATATATAATAAAGTAATAAAATATAAAAATATAAAAGTAAAATTCGTATAAAAATCGACAATTTTCATTTAGAGTAAACGACTTATCCAATTTGATTTTACACCAATTTTTCTCATTTATTTTTCGAAAATGAAAGAGAGAGAGATAGAGGTAGATACTAATCTTTCTTTGCATTTCTTATCTCGTTCATCGAATCTCCCATCAGTGGAAATAAGAAAAAGGTAAAAACTATGATGGATGGTTGGTGGAATCTTTGATTCACTTACCATTCATATACACACCATACATACATATATGGAAAGGAACGAAGTTATATTACTAATGCTAATTCAACGTCCAACACGATTTACTCTCACGAGTGACACACATTTGTAAATTCTTCTTTCGAAGACGACTACGCTACGACGAAGAAAAAGAAAAAGAAAATGAAGATGAAAACAAAGATGAAGATGAAGACGAAGGCGAAGATAAAAATGAAAATGAAGATGAATTAGATTTATAGATAATTGGATCTGACTAACAAGTCATGACAGAAAATGATAATAAACGAAAGAAAGTGATTTTAATTTGTTTAAGAGAGCGAATCGTTAAAATGTCGGCAATCCTGTTAAGCTGTATGTCGAATTGCTTCCATCATGGGATTGGAAAGTTCGAAGGTGCACAAGATTGAATACTTCCAATTGTGATCTTTAAGAAAAAAAAGGAAAATACATTCTTTAGATTTCATCAAAATTTTTAATCCGTGTAATTAACTTTTATCTTTTGAAGAAAATATGTCATTTGTTGATTAATCCCGAAATTCATCGAGAAAGTTATGCTTTTTCCGTATATTTTTAAATTTCATTTTTTTTATTAACATTTTAATCGAATATATATATTAAGGTGAGTCAAAAACAGCAATTATTTTTTTTTTTTTACAAGTGCCACGGAAAAATGGGTTGCTAGACACCTTAAAACAATTCTCACCAAATATGAGCTCGTAATTTTAATAGGAAGATCCTCCGTATCGCAGTTTTTTTATTTTTTTCTCAGTCAAATAGAATAAAATTCATACCTCATCATTAATTGATTGTACAGAAGAATGTTCTGGAAGAATTTTGTAGAAAATTTAATGCTCTACAAAAAAG